TAATACTTAATTCCAAATCTTGAGGAAGCTGTCCCAGGAGCCGGTGGCCACCGCCATGCCGTCCTCGGTGACGCCCAGGCAGGAGACGCGGTTGTCGTGGCCGGCGNGCAAGTGCACACATCGGGTGAATAAATTTTGTTTGCCGATCTTTCTTTCGTTCGTGGCACACACAGCTGACAACTTTTTGAATGGATTGGAGAAGGTGGTGGTGGTGGAGAAGATGGAGAAGAGGGAGGATANCAATTGGTTGTAGTCATATATAAATTAGAGAAAAAATAATAGAGAAAAAGAAGAGGAGTTGAAATCAGAAGATTCAGAAGATTCAGAAGATTGAAATTCATAGTCGTTTCAATCCTGAATCAGTGAAAGAAGAGAGAGAGAGAGACACGCTGGAGGGTGGTGGTGGTAATGGCGGCAAGTGCACACATCTGGTGAATAAATTTTGTTTGCCGATCTTTCCTTCGTGGCATACACAGCTGACAACTTTTTGAATGGATTGGAGAAGAAGGTGGTGGTGGAGAAGATGGAGAAGAAGGAAGATATTGTTGTAATACTTAATTCCAAATCTTGAGGAAGCTGTCCCAGGAGCCGGTGGCCACCGCCATGCCGTCCTCGGTGACGCCCAGGCAGGAGACGCGGTTGTCGTGGCCGGCGAGGACGCCTATTTAAAAAAAGTGATTAGTAAAAAGTAGTAAAAAACTCACTCAATAAAAAGTTCTTACCAGCCCGCTCCGCCTTCATGGAGTCCCAGACGTTGCAGTTGAAGTCATCGTAGCCGGCCAGCAGCAGCCGCCCGGACTTGCTGAACGCCACCGAGGTGATGCCGCAGATGATGTTGTCGTGGGAGTACATCGCAAGCTCTTGGTCAGCTCGAATGTCGAACAGACGGCAGGTGGCGTCGTCGGAGCCGGTGGCGAAGGCGTGCCCGTTCGGGAAGAACTGTTGGGTAGAAGAGGGGAAAGGGATTAGACTTGTTTTCCATACTAAACACTAAACACACTCACCGTCACGGCGTTGATGTCCGACTCGTGGCCCGGGAACGTCTGCTTGCACATGCCATCGCGAATGTCCCAAAGCTAATGAAGAGAAATGTGGAGAATCGTTAGGCTCAATTACAGTAAAGAAAACCTCTTCCAATCCCTACCTTTGCGGAAGCGTCGCAGGCGCCGGAGACGAAANTCGCGAATGTCCCAAAGCTAATGAAGAGAAGAAGGTTTCTGGTTAGACTTAATCACAATAAAAAAGATCTTCTCCTTTACCTTTGCGGAAGCGTCGCAGGCGCCGGAGACGAAGNGGGAACGTCTGCTTGCACATGCCATCGCGAATGTCCCAAAGCTAATGAAGAGAAATGTGGAGAATCGTTAGGCTCAATTACAGTAAAGAAAACCTCTTCCAATCCCTACCTTTGCGGAAGCGTCGCAGGCGCCGGAGACGAAAGTTCGCGTGTCGGGGGAGAGCGACAGCGACATGACGTCGCCGGTGTGCCCCGTGAAGGAGGTGCACTGCTGCCCGGTCTCAATGTCCCACAGGGCACTAGTAATAAAAATCACAAATGGTTAGTTTTAGTTACCCTACAAATCCACTCCAAATCCCATCCACTTACCAGGTCATGTCGCCCGAGCTGGTGACANAGTTCGCGTGTCGGGGGAGAGCGACAGCGACATGACGTCGCCGGTGTGCCCCGTGAAGGAGGTGCACTGCTGCCCGGTCTCAATGTCCCACAGGGCACTAGTAATAAAAATCACAAATGGTTAGTTTTAGTTACCCTACAAATCCACTCCAAATCCCATCCACTTACCAGGTCATGTCGCCCGAGCTGGTGACAATCTGGTTGTCGTCCAGGAAGCGGCAGCAGCTGAGATAGCCGGTGTGGCCGGGCAGCTCCCGGCTGACCCGGACGTTGCCCTCGCGCGTCTTCAGACTGTAGATGGAGCAGATGTTGTCGAGGCCGCCGCAGGCGACGTACGAGCCCGAGGGCGCGTAGGCGCAGGTCATCACCCAGCTGCTGCGCAGCGGAATGGCGTGCACCTTGTTCGTCGTGTAGGCGTCCCACACGATCAGCTTGCCGTCCTGCGAGGCCGACACCAGGTATCTGCTGAGTTGGGTATTGGGAAAAGGGAAAGGGAAAGATTAATACAAATAGAAATGGAAAAAATGGCAAATCTAAACTTACCTCGAGTCGGAGCCCCAGTGCATGGCGTAGATCTTGGCGAGGTGGCCGCGCAGCGTGCGTCGGGTGCGCATCTGAATGCGCCCCACCGGCTCCATGTTGGCAGTGGCCTGGACCAGCGTCGTATCACATGCCGCCTTGCGTGCATCCTAACGGGAGAGGGGAGTGATAAGTTAGAGGATCAATTACAAATAGGAAATACAGAGAAACGAATCTAAACCCTGTCCCTAAATTAAACTGTGCCCTTCATTTTTGTTTTTCCTTTCTGTTTGTGGCGTCCGTGCCGTACGACACGACACACTCCTAGCATAGCCTTCGTCTGCCGGCACTTTCCACTTCCCTGATTCCTCCCTCCCTCCCTGTTACTGTTATTACAGCAGCAATCACCTCAGCTCAATCTCATCAGCGAGTGCTAGTACTAGCATTGGCATTGACAGTGTCCCTGCCATTGTAGCACATATAAAAGCACAGCACTCCAGGAACAAGTGTAATTCTGCGGTTCAGTGAGTGTGTGTGTGTGTGTGAGTATGTGATGGCCATCACAGTGGTCCGGTCTACACACTACAAAACACTCTACAACGGCACTCCACTTCACCTCACTTCACTTCAGTCCTTCTTTTCATTCTCATTCGCTCATTTGGCAATAGGTCAGAGCCAGGGTGTTCTGCTTGGGTTAGGAGGTTCGGTTCTGACTGGCCTCGACGGTGCTGGCCAGCAGCAGCAGCAGCAGCAGACGGCCAGAGAGCGCTTGCCACATAATCAGTCAGTCGGTACTGCTGCTGGTGCTGCTGGTAGTTCTCGCCCAGATAAGCGAGTCGCAGCGGAGGCAAAAGTGTGTCGCTCAGGCCTCGATGACGTCAGAGAGCGTTTGCAGACCCCACCGACGACACCGTACAAACACTCTCGGGCACAGTGAGCGGGGGACAGTTAGCCTTGCTGGAGCTGCTGTTACACACACACA